AAGTTTCAGGATTTCTCCCTGGCTATCCGATGGTGACCTTGACCTTGACGATCATTTAAAGGTCAAATGTGATTTTTCAATTGGGCCCTATACTTTTGACCCCAGAAATGAAGTGGAAAATTTTACGTTCAGATATGACCTTGAGTGACCCCTCCCTTTTGACCTTGGGGCCCCCACAAGGTCAAACTAACAAAACTACAGGATCGGCAGAATAACTCGGCGGGAGAGCATTTCGAAGAAAAATGTTGACCTTGAAATTATTTTCAAGGTCAATGTCATGGTCACCATCGGATAGCCAGGGAGAAATCCTCAAACTTTTGTATTGAACATTTTTCTCTAAAATGCTCTCCCGCCGAGTTATTCTGCCATTCTGCCTGAGGATTATTTTAATTTGTTTGTTATTTATGGAAAAAAGCAGCAAATTGTTTACATGTTGAAATTACTTTGTCATGTTTTCCATAAATAAATAAATTAAAAGGATCATTAGTATAATTTAAACGATCTCCAGGTATTTTTACTTAAATTTTTGGCAAAAACTATTCAGACGCAACAATAATTTGACAACTAACATGACAAATGTCAAGTCATTTCAATTGTTTTTGGAGTGTTTCTGGTCATGGCGAATTTGACAACAGGTCTGATACGAGAAAAACTGTTCAAAAAATAGAGAATTGCAAATATCTCTAAAAGTAGTAATGGCAACCCTAACAATGCTTATATGGCTCGAAAGGAAATTTCAATCTGCATACGACAGAGTAAAAAAATACAGGGTGTTCCATTTAAGTTAACAAAGTTATAGCTGTTTGAAGTTATCAAAACAGCAAAAATGAAACACCTAGTATTAAATGTTTAATTGGTTGTTACTTATGCTCTTTGCAGGTACCAAAAATCCACTTGATATCATGCTCCTGAAAAGAGTTACTAGCGTCTCTGCGGACCCTTATTGTATCTGTCAAATTTTTTCTTTAAAAATTAATATCTCAAAATCTATAACTCCTAGATATAGGGAATATTTACTAAAATGACCCTCAAATTTCACGTAGAATCCGAAAATACAATAATATGTAATGTCCCATTTAAAATAACGAAGTTGGTATCGGCTTCCGGTATAACCGGAAGTGCTGGTTCTAGATATTTTAGTTGTGTTCGCCCCAGGGACATTGCCATGTTGCCAAATTTTCAAATTTTTCGGAGAAGTACTTTCCTAGATATCGATTCACGCAGTTCCCGGTGGGACACCCTGTATATATTAGCTAATTTTTAATTTAGAAGAAAATTACATTATTTCAGTTGGTCAAAATTAAAAATAATAAATTTTTCAAGAAAGTGTAAACCCCAAGGTTTAATGACCAAATTTTAATAGCTTTAATTTATTTTCACTAAATTTAAATTTCCGTATCAATATGTGCTGATTTTTTATACTATCAATTAACGCTATTAAAATTTAATACAAAATTTGAAATTTTTCAAAAAATTTATTTATTTTTTTGTAACTTTTACTCGTTATTTTTGCTAATTTTATTTTTTCCTAAAAAAGAATCTCTTTTTATATGTAGATTTAAGTATCTTTTTTGTAATGTCCAAATTTTTTAAATAATCATACTTTTCTAGATATTACGTGGCAGATACTGGCAAAATTTTTTGGAAATGATGTTTGAAAAATGGTGACTGATGTAGAGCTTGTGTTTTCGCAAATAGTATTTTTTTTTAGTTTACCTAGGAAACCTGGAAATATTACAAATATTTCAGTCAAAATTTAGTATACACCCGGAAGAAAATGTAAATTATAGAAAACCCCTTTAAAGATAAATTTTATAATATTATCCAAAAATATGGATTGTAAAAATTATTTGTAATTGATTTAGTAGATAAATAAATTTACTTTCTTGAAATTATCTTAATCTCTTAATCTAGATAAATGAGACTGGGGCTAATAAATTGCAGTTACGTAAAATGCATTTAATTCTTCAAAAGAGATTACTTCTATTACATCAATATATTTATAAAAATTATCAATTATTTACAGTTTTCTAGTAAGATACATATAATAACATCATTTAGTGAACAGCAGGTGATACTAAAGCATTATTAATACTGATATTTTTTAAACTTTTAAAATTGACACGTATTTGACTAGAATTCAAGTAAAATTAACCACAAAGGAAAAGCATTTTTTTTTAATTGTACAGGGTCAATTCGAACACAGTTGGCAGGGTTTCTCTTATTTTCGAAAATGAAATATGAGTAAGATATAACCAGCAATGTATATGTGAACTTAAATGTCATTGCTGCTTACTGGCACAGAGAATTGTTTTGTACCTACTGGCAAAGAGTGACCTACTAATCTGTAGGTACTATGAAAGCACACCTTGCTTCGCACAAGGTGAATATATAGTGAAAAAACGAATGATATTGGTATCATAATGATGGATCTGACAAGCAGAAAAAAACCCTTGGGATCGTTTTACAAAAAATGAATATGTTACTACAGAACCTTCATAAGCGATTACAAACGATGTGACCAGTAATTTTGTTTGGAATAGTTATTTTATTTCCTTTATGTTGGCAATTAAATTTCGGTACAATTAAAAAAGCAAGATCAAGATTACATTAAAACACAACATTCTGTTTCACCGGCTGTGATTGGTGTTATTTTTACGAGATTCTATTCAACCAATCAGTGATCGCATTATCTCGAGCGAAGGTGTAACGGTTTGTTATTGTTCATTATAAACGAATCGTTAATATTGGTGACGCCAAGATTTAGGGATTTTTCTTTACCAGTCATGCAATGTTGGATTGCCTAAGTTCGGCGGTCATGTGACTTGTAAACATTTATGAATAAAACAGAAATAACAACTTGTTTAAGATTTTCAATCATTTTTAAGTGGAAAATTTAAATTTTCTATTGCATTTACCATTTGCAGATAGCTAGACAGCTGAGCAATTTGATTAGTTTACAACTGTATTGATCAATTTTTATACAATTCAGATCAATTTGGTTCATGTAACTACCTACTTTCGAAGTTATATATGATGTTTTCCATTTATTAAATAGAACTTGTTAAGTTAATGCTATTGTTGGAAACAACTATTCAGGCTATATGCCCCGGATGGCATTGAATTACAACCTCAGTATTTAGTAAATAGCTAAGTTCATTCATCAGGGTAACCACTAGTCACACTTTATATCTCACCAATACGCAGAAGTAAGTTGGTCTAACTCGTAACAAAATAATTTCAATTTCAACACCTTGTATAGAATCTATTGGCAAAAGTTTGCCGATTTATAACTAAACACCCTGTATATAAATTTTCTTTAAAAAATATTTTTTGTCATAACAGGAAAATCAGAATACTCCACCAAATTCTATGCAAAAAAAAAAACTGGAAAAATGATGTACCTATTACCTTGAAAAATATGAGAAATTCCTCAAATATGTATAAATTGGCCCATTTTATTCAATGTAATGTATAGTCTTTCCGAAGTCAGTTGAACATGTAAAAAAACGCCTGGCAATAAAATTTAATGACTGTCATAGGCGTCCCTAAAAAAGTTTTCTGCTAAAGGTAAAAAATTATAATAATTTATATATAATGTGTAGAAAATTCCTATTCATTCATTTGGCCAACAACATATTTTCATTATTTATATCCTCAACCAATTTTATTATATTGATGGTAAATTTCCTTTTGTTCCGTTTCAAAGGGTCTACAAAATGCCATGTAATAATACCGAGGGTTTCCTGCCAGAAGGGCGTATCAACCTATGTACATACCACCTTCTGCCAGGTTAATCGAGATAATAATTGTTCATACGACCAAGAAAAGTATTGTGTGGCGCTGTTATTATTGGTGAGGTAGATACCTTTTGTCGCGACAAATTTATGGTATTGGGTATCGAAGTTAGCTCATAAGCCCAAAATGGCACTTTTTGTGGATACATCCTTTTGGCAGGAAATCCTCGATATTATTTCTCGCTTTTGTAATTGTAATACCAATGATTAATAGAAGGTGCTCATAATAAATTAAAATTACCTGAAACACACCAAATTCCGCATTGCTGCACTGCACTGCTGGGCAATTTGTCAGCCACTTGTCAATAGCTGAGATTTATTGCCCAGTGGTCCAATGCAGCTATGTTTGTATTTCGTTTGCCCGCGCTCGCATTCTTCAACTGGGCATANAAAAAACGCCTGGCAATAAAATTTAATGACTGTCATAGGCGTCCCTAAAAAAGTTTTCTGCTAAAGGTAAAAAATTATAATAATTTATATATAATGTGTAGAAAATTCCTATTATATGTTCATTTGGCCAACAACATATTTTCATTATTTATATCCTCAACCAATTTTATTATATTGATGGTAAATTTCCTTTTGTTCAGTTTCAAAGGGTCTACAAAATGCCATGTAATAATACCAAGGGTGTCCTGCCAGAAGGGCGTATCAACCTATGTACATACAACCTTCTGCCAGGTTAATCGAGATAATAATTGTTCATACGACCAAGAAAAGTATTGTGTGGCGCTGTTATTATTGTTAATTATTTATATTATTGTTATTATTTGTGAGGTAGATACCTTTTGTCGCGACAAATTTATGGTATTGGGTATCGAAGTTAGCTCATAAACCCAAAATGGCACTTTTTGTGGATACGTCCTTTTGGCAGGAAATCCTGGATATTATTTCTCGCTTTTGCAATTGTAATACCAATGATTAATAGAAGGTGCTCATAATAAATTAAAATTACCTGAATCACACCAAATTCCGCATTGCTGCACTGCACTGCTGGGCAATTTGTCAGCCACTTGTCAATAGCTGAGATTTATTGCCCAGTGGTCCAATGCAGCTATGTTTGTATTTCGTTTGCCCGCGCTCGCATTCTTCAACTGGGCATATACCACCTTCACGTTTAGTTCGACCATACATGTACATGGGTATGGCTAAATAAATATGGCAACAAGTTTTTAAAATATTTCAATGCGGAGTTGCTGCGTCAGCGACCGAACATGGTACATACTGTCAACCTCTTGGTTCTTCAATTGATATCGGAAAGACTATACTTGGGAAACTTTTTTTGGCATTTGTTAATAGTTACTGGGTATTTTTTAGTTAAAATATAGAAAATATCCTAATAATGTTTTTAAAATAATATAGAGTCTCTCAGAAATAAGTGCCAATATTTTACAAGCTTCTTTAAAAGCTTTTATTTAACTTGCTTTGTTAGTATGGTCAAATCTTGCAACTGAATTTTAAAACAGTTATTCCCAACTGATTGAGCTGAAATTTTGCATACATGTTTCGTTTGGGTGACAATGCATGGTGGCAGTAAAAGCTTGTTTAAAAAAAAATCTATACATGAACTTATTTCTGTACCTCAGAGCTAAACTGTATTAACTCCATTTTTTACGAAAATGGGATTATTTGACAGCCCAACACTGTTTTTTATGTTCTTTCACGTGCTAAACAGTAATAACTCCCACTTATGATACTTTCGAAGATAGACAGTGCTAAATAATAATAAGTCCCAACCTGTCTCCAAGCTAGACGATCGTATGTGTATTTAATATTAACCATGTATCATTTCCACAGTATTAAGTTCCTTGTTACATCAATTTAGTCCGAACCAAACTGGTGTATGTGGAGTTAATATTCTATTAGTTTGACTTCGGAGTATTAACTCCACACATATCAAGATCATGTTGGTTTACTTTAGTATTATATCCACATTCATCGTATATTATCGCACAATTAGTAAATATTATAATATAAAATCCCTAAATCATGTTTGTGCCAAATAGTGTTAACTCCATTTTTTTTGAAAAAAAAATACGAATAGAAAATTATTCTTTAAATTACAATAAAATACCTAATATTAAAATAGACGTATAACTTCACATCATACTATTTTTTTTATCAAGGAGAAGTAAGAGTTCGAAGTTATGGAATGATAAGCAAAATTTAAATCTTTAAATCTCTCTCCTGTAAAATTTAATTTTTGGCACTTAATACAGGTTAGCTCTGAAGTACAGAATTACAATCACGTCAAAAACAACAACTTTTATCTAATAAATTTTTTCAAAACCACATTTTTATCGGGTTTTCTACTCATTAAAATAATGCTAACGAGCTGCCTGTGGATTAAAAAAATATCTAAGTAACATTTCGTACTAGTGCTACTGTTAGTTATTATTAAAAAAGTATATTAGACCAAAGTTGTTGCTTTTGATGAGTTGAATGCATGATTAAAACTTTGGAACTTATTTCTGGAACGCTTTGTATATCGCTAATTTCCCTATTCGGCAGCTGCAGCCTCGCCATTAGTAGCACTCGACTGATCGCCAATAATTAGCTCTTCCAAATCCGTCAGGTCCTCTAAAATGTTGCTACCTAATTCTTTGATTCCGTTACCGATTAAGTTTAAGTGTCTAAGGGATTTAAGGTTTTCAAAAACTTCATCGTCGATTTCTTCAATTTCATTATTGCTTAAATCAAGGTAGGTTGTGGTTGTGTCTTCGAAAGCGCCCACTTCTATTTTACTTATTTTGTTGTTCTTGAATGACAGTGCTGAGATTGGTATGTTGCGGAATACCTCGCTTTTGATTTCCGTTAAATTGTTGTCCGACAAGAAAATGAAACCGATGTATTTCATTTCCTCAAACACCTCTGGTTCTATTGTTTCTAGGTTGTTTTTGTTCAGGTGTAGACTGTCGATTGATGTACTCTGAAATATTTTATTTCGGAGCTCTTTCAAGTTGTTATTGCCCAGAAATAGTTCATAGATGTGTGTGTTTCCAAATACGGCTTCTTCTATATTTTGTATGTTATTATTGTCCAGATATAAACTATGCAAAGACTCTATGCTGTTGAATATTCCTGCTTTAATTTTGTTGAGGTTATTATTTGACAAATATAAATACTTCAATTGGGACAGGTTTTCGAAAGCACCTTCTTCTATGTCTGTTATCTGATTGTCTGATAAATCAATCAGCTCGACTGATGGTAAGTTATCAAAAACGCCTTTTTTGATCTCTGTTAATTTATTGCCCTTTATACGTATCCATCCAAGGTTAAGCGAGTTATCAAATACATTTGTTGGTAGGTCGACCAACTTGTTCCCTTCCAAGTTTATGTCGTTAATGGTAGGTAAATCGTTAAACATACCTTCAATTTCTTCTACGTTGTTATTTTTCAGTGATACATTTTTTAAATTGCTTATTACTCTGAACGACTCTGGATCAACGCGGCTTATAATATTATCAGCTAAATCAAGTGATGTTATAGATGTATTTTCAAAATAATCTGTTTTAATTTCTTCCAACTTGTTACTGGATAGAACAAGCAATTCCAATGGCGAGTTTTGGAATGCCCCATTCTCTATATTTCGTATCTCATTTTTATTTAAATTCAAAATGTTTACTTTTAAGTTATTAAACATGCCATTCTTAATTTCTTCTAGTAAATTATTTTCTAAGATGATCGTTTCCACTGCCGAATTGTTGAATGTGTTTGTTTCAATATCTTTCAATTGACAAGAATCTATTTTGAGTGATTTTAAATTAATGTCACTCAGGCTGTTTTCGCAAAGAATTGGTACGGTTTGGTCTTTAATTCTTACTGCATCGTAATCGTCTCTCTCTGGTAAATTCTCTCGTAATTTATTGGAGGATGTAATCGTTTCTTCAAATACCGGCACGTCAAATTCACAGCCTCCCCAACCATTCTGTATCAACTTCACGCTCAGGAGTCCCTCGACTTTTACCTCCTCGAATGTATTCGCCTCTGCCATTTTTCGGACGAATGAGTTACCGATAATGTAACTGTGCTCAGATGTATTAACCTGAAAGAATTAAGTTTTGCATTTTCTGTTCATAAATCATGATATACATATAAATGTTTCTTTGATATATCAATCTAAATGGAAACTGAAAACATTTTCCATGTTGTGCAATATGGTCACTGGGTGTCCCGATTTATAGGTGTACGTTTTTAAAAACAATTTTTCTAATGTAGAGGCTGTCCCAAAATTCACGCAAGAAGTAATCTTGATAGAAAATAAAGGTTTTTAATAAAAAATTGTAAATCTTTTATTGGTTCATAACGTATACGTAACGTATAGTGTGTCTAAATAACACCGAAAAAATGTAAATGTCTTTGGAATAAAATTTTATGAAAAAACTCCCCATATACAGGGTGGGTCATTAGTGTGAGAAAGTAAAATAACTCCCTTGTTATTCATAATACAGAAAAAAAGTTCATATAAAAGTTGTACAGAATCAAAAAACCTAAAGGACAAAATTAATTTGAAACACACAGGGCGATGAGTAAAAACGGGACACGCCAAATATTACATTTTTTAAATGGAACACCCTGTATATTTTTAAACATATGGATTTCTGAGAAGATTCTATACAGGGTCGGAAAGTCCCCATGGTTCATCGGCCGTTACGTGAGAGCGATAAAGAAAGCTATACAAATCCGTGCGATAGAGAAAGATGGCTATAATGAAGGCGTCTAATAGTCACCGCCCATTTCGCCCTTCCACAAATAAGATCCACTTCTTATTTGTGGAAGGGCGAAATGGGCGGTGACTATTAGACGCTTTCATTATAGCCATCTTTCTCTATCGCACGGATTTCTATGACTTACTTTATCGCTGTCACGTAACGGCCGATGAACCATGGGGACTTTCCGACCCTGTATACGACAATATAAACAGTTTAACATTTTAGTGCGGGATTGCCAAGTTAAGTAGAAAATTCTTTGAATTTTGGAAAAAACACGACCTCCAAGAAGTTGTATTAACTTTAACTACTAAAACTTGGGGCAAAAATATTTGGCAGAGTTATAGGCAAATGTTGGGCAAAGACTCCTATATTAGCTAATATCGATATTTTATACAGGGCATTTTTTCTAATACGATCATTTTAAGAAAGTTCAAACTTGATTTTCTAAAAATTTTCAAATGGAACACCCTATATTTTATTGTTCTATTTTATTCACATATCGGTCCACATCAACTTTTATTAAGTATGTTCTACACGTAAAGTTTTTAGTTTTTAAGATATAGCAACATTTCTGGAAAAACCTAATTTTTACTATTTTCGGTCGCACGAAATGGCTTTGGAAAAAACTGTCACATTGAAACAACTTGTCAGTTCATAATTTATCATTCCATTTTGAGTTAATTTTATTAGTTAATATTTATTTGTAGTATTCTATAAACTATTAAAAATTAAGTTTTTTCAGAAATATTGCTATATCTTAAAAACTAACAATTTTGGATATAGAACATGTTCAATAAAAGTTGAAGTGGACCGATATGTGAATAAAATAGAACAATAGAACAATAAAATACATCAGGGTGTTCCATTTGAAAAATTTTAGAAAATTAAGTTTCAACTTTCTGAAAATGAAAGTATTATAAAAAATGCCCTGTATAAAATATCAATATTAGCTAATATAGGAGTCTTTGCTTAACATTTCCGTATAACTCTGTCAAATATTTTTGTTCCAAGTGTTAGTAGTTGAAAGTTAATACAATTTCTTCGAGGCCATGTTTTTTCCAAAATTCGAAGAATTTTCTATATAACTTAGCAACCCCGCACTAAAATGGCAAACTGTTTATATTGACATATATAGAATTTTCTCGGAAATCCATACGTTTAAAAATATACAGTGTTCCGTTTAAAAAATGTAATATTTGGCTTGTCCCATTTTTACCCATCGCCCTGTATGTATCAAATTAATTTTGTAGTGTAACTTTTTTTCTGTATTATGAGTAACAAGGGAGTTATTTTACTTTCTCACACTAATGGCCCACCCTGTATATCAAGGTAAAGAAATAAAAAAACTAAATTTTTTGAAATTTTTTCAACCCTGAAGCATGGGGTTGAAATACTCAACCCTATGACACTTTATCTTATAATTTTTTGTTCGATAAAATTTATTTTAAAAAAATATGTTAAAAAAGCCCCATTCATTTACTATTTGATATCTTCGTTTTTTCGAAAAGTTAAGGATTTATGAGAAAAAATAAATGTATTGCAATGCATTTTTAAAAAGATGAGCTGTTTAACGCGAGTGTATTTTGCCGAAAATGTCAGGTGTTAATTATTTCAACCCCTTACAAAAATACTTCAGCAGAGCACCAAGAAAAATAATAAAAAATACTTGGCAGAACGAGAAAATGCCAAGATTAAACAAAAGAATAGAAAATACGCTAATGATGACAGCGATCACATATTAACAAAATCTCACCTACGTATGAGGCTATTCTTTCCGAGCATGCGCATTAGGAATAACACGGCTAATGTTAAATTTGTATTTTATTTAAATTTAGGAATATCGTTTTTTGTAAATTTTAAGCACATTAGTGTATCTATTTTACCAAACACGTGTTGGTTGTTCTTAAATACTTGTAAGTCCTTGTAAAAATAAATTAATTCGAAGTTGTTCATTTCTATAGTATCTATGTAAATAGTACACAAGGGTCACATTCGATCTGTACAATTTCAACTAGACAATTTGTTGCGGGTTGCCTAAATATAAGACGTCACACTAAAAGGGTCTATTGATGTTCCTGGACTCTCAGCAACACTCACGAACTGCTTCGATGATTTTTGTTGAACGACTTATTGAAGGAAGGCCAGATAGTTTAAGATCACTAATTGATCCAATCTCCCAGATGAATTTTTCAATTTATCTCTTTACAGTTGACGAAGTTAAATGACTATTCAGACCATATTTTTTACGAAAACTACAAACTGTATATGCCAAACCTTAATTATGATTTAAAATATCGCTTAACAATGAAACCGCGTTGTTCTTTCGTGTATTGCTTCATTTTTAATGGCCCTGAACTGTCTGCTGCTGTCAAGCTGTCTTTTTTTTATTTGTTGGCAACACTTTACCGCACAAATGGCAGAAAATTCAAATCTTGCGTAAATTTTGGGACACCCGATACATTGAAATCTTATATTACATGAATTATAGCTTAATACTTTTATATAGAATAAAAATTCAAACATTTTTTTTATTAAACTCTCAAGAAGGGTCACATATGGAAATTATAACTTTCTAAAAACTGCAAATGCAGCTACAATTTTTTTAGGCCAATATTTTTTTATTATTAAAGATTGAGGAAGAAAAAATGTAAATTGTTTCTGGAAAGGTGAAAACTGTCCTTTTTCTAGATTCAAATGAAATTAAAGGAATAAGAAGTAATATATTAAAATAATTAAAATAAACTAAAATCATCATATAAATTGTAGCAGACTTAGATCTGTTATTTTGAAAAAATCCGAAAGAGAAAGAAATATTTAAACTTAATTTCATTTTGTTTATGTTCATTTATAAAAGAGAACACCCTACATTGTTATTTTTTTCATAGTTTTATTTATTTTTCCTCTATTATATCAGTACCTACGTGGTTAAATTATAATTTCACAAGATATTTAGAATATATACTTTTTTATAAGTAAAAAGTTTGGAAATTGTTACTTACTAAACTGCTGTAATTCAATGGATAGATATGACATTCAACATTTCATAAATTTATAACTAAACTGATCACTTATTCAACTAGTAATTTTTGTAATAAATGTGCTGAACAGGATTTAGATAAAAAATAAAAGTGATAAGATAACGAATTTAAATTTGTATATACGAGGGTTGCCTTTTACATTTCGGGAATAGGGAACAATAAAGAAATTAATCATCATATATGGCTTTATTGTTTTTCAAAATATTCTCCATGAAGTTCAATACACTTTATTTGCATGCGCTTGAACTAATTTTCTAAGCACTTTATCCATTCCGATTGAGGTACCTCTAAAACATGCATTTGTATATCTGGGAACCATTCCGGACCATTTCTGAGGGTTTATGACCCTCTGAATAAGCTGGTAGGTCAGCTCTATCGAGAGCTAACCAGACCGAGTAAAATCCGTGACATGGCGCCCAACGTGGGGCTATGACGTGGGATACATCGTCGACCTACATAAATCCGTGACATAATCTGTGATGTTCAGACGACTCCCAAAACATTAAATTATTAAATGTTAAATTGATTTTAAAAATGTATCACAGGAAATAATGATAAGTAATAAATTGCTTTTGGTAAATTTACTTTTTTTGTAAAAGATACACCTTATTAACTTAGGTACTATTAAATACTTTGTTTTCTCATCTTTAAAATTATTCAGTCAATTAAGATAGAAAGTTTGAATTTTCGTGAAAGTTGGTCACTTTCGTGAGAATTCTTGAATAAAAACAGATTTTCAATGTTTTGCAGATATAGCCAAAAAAAAATAAAAATTTTCGGTGACCCCTGTAGTTGTTTACTTTTTCTGATAGAATTTTTACATGGAATCCAGTACAATACTTAATTTTTGAATTATTCTAAAGTTTCTTATTTACAGATCAATGTTACATTTTTAACCATGGCTCAGTTAAAAAAGATATTTCATGCTTTCCAAAAATATATACAGAGCCTTCATAAATGTTTACAAGCCATATGTGACCGCCGAGCTTAGCAACCGACATTGAACGGCTGGCACTATCAACTAAAAATCCCCAAAGCACCACCAATATTAATGTTACGTTTACAATGAACAATGACAAACTGTTAGGTCTACGCTTGAGTTAATGTGATCGCTGATAGGTTGAATAGAATCTCGTGAAAAATTACACCAATCACCAGCCGGTGAAACAGAATGTTGTATTTTAATGTAATCTTGATCTTATTTTTTTTATCATTTTTAATTTTACCGAAATTTAAATGCCAACTTGAAGGAAATAAAATTACTGTTACAAACAAAATTACCGGACATCACCTGGTCTGTAATCATGAAGGCTCTGAAGCTTGTGGTACTTACCGCAAAAAGTATTTTACCTACGACCACTACTGTAAATACTTAAAAACACACCGTCTGCGATCAATGTAAGATTCCCATTACGTACGGTAAAAAAATCGCACAGTTTTCCTAGCGATCGCCTAGCAACGGTCAATACAATACTGTTTGTATTGACCGTTGCTAAGAGGTTGCTAGGAAAACTGTACAATTTTTTTACCAAGCTGTGCGATTTTTTTACCGTACAACGTAATAGGAATCTTGCATTGATCAGAGACGATGTGTTTTTGAGTATTTAAAGTTGTGATCGTAGGTAAAGTATAGTACGTAATACGTGGTGTAATGCAATTACGCACTCATAGAATTACGCACTCGCCGCTACGCGGCGTCGTGCGTAACTTTTCCACTCGTGCGTAAAATGCTTTTTACAACACTTATTACGTAATATACTATTGTATTTGCCGTATTAAAAAAACAAATATGTTGGTATCATAGATTTAATAGTATACTAATATTAGATCTATGGTTGGTATTATATTGAATAAAATCTAATGCCATTTGTTATACATATATGGCATAATTAATGACTTTCTTTTGCTTCATTTTTGCGGAATATCTAGATAATAATTGTGATGACCAAATTCATTTTTATGACAATAATAGACGTGATATTAATTTTTTCCTTCAAATTTGTTCTAGCTAATGTTGATGACATTCATACCATTCTTAATAGTATCAAAACGGATGCATTTGGTGTTGATAATACATATATCTCGCACCATGTTAAAATACTGTAGTCCATTTATTGATCCGTATGTACTCATATAATTAATTGCTGTATATTGAGAAACAATACTTTTCTTATTTGTGGAAAAATTAGTATATTCCAAAAGATTGTTATGTAATCAAACTAGTACTAGTACTAGTATTATTATTATTATTTGCTTGCTTGCTTGCTTGCTGGCTTGCTCCCTTCCTTCCTTCCTTCCTTCCTTCTTTCCTTCCTTCCTTCCTTACTTACTTACTTACTTACTTACTTACTTACTTACTTACTTACTTACTTACTTACTTACTGTCATAAAAGTAGGGAGAAAAATTAGTTTAATAAAAATGCTGTTAGGATAACAATACATTTAAATTCATTTTACAGTAATAATACATAATTTTATGTTAATGTAAAAAAATGTTTAAATATCAATTTAACAACGTATGTATTAATCTTAATTATTGGCATTCATAAGTTTTTTTTGATGGATTTTAGCAAAACTAATAGGTACAATGAGTAAGTATACTGTGTAAACATGTTACATCTGTCAGAATATTTATCTATATCTACAGGTAAAAATGAAAATACATTTTTCAATATCATCAATGAAATATCAATATACATTTTATGGAATTTTATTTTTTTTTATTCTTTAGTACTTTCTTGACGTTTTAACATGTCATATTTAAAATTATAAGTATGGTTGTCACCAATAGCGAACTCCTGTAATTTTACCAAGTGCTCAAATACCTTACTACCCAATTCTTGGATTTTATTACCACCCAAGTTCAAATTAAACAATGACTTAAGATTTTCAAAAACTTTGTCGTCTATTTCAGAAATATCATTATTTTCTAGAATAAGGAAACCTAGAGATCTTAAATTCGCAAAAGCATCTACCTCAATTTTATTTATCTTGTTGTTTCTAAGAAACAATCCCGTGATAGAAGGATTGTCGAACATACCTTTATTAATCTCTGTTAAATTGTTTCCTTCCAAAAAAATTAGTGAGATAGATTTCATAATATTGAACACTTCTGTGTCTATAATTCCTATATTATTGTGGGCTAAGTGCAAGAAGCCAATAGACGCGTCTTTAAACATTTTACCTTGCAGTTCATTTAAACTATTACGTTCAAGTTTTAAATAGTGTATTTTAGAATTTTTGAATGCTAGATCTTCTATGCGTATTATTTTATTGTCTCTCAAATCTACATCACCCGCGGTTATATTATTAAATACACCGGCTTTGACTTCTTTTAATTTATTGTTGGATAAAAATAAATACTTTAGTTTGGGTAGGTTTTCAAAAGCACCTTCCTGTATGGTTTCTATTTGGTTATCTCTCAAATCAATCAGTTCGAGTTGTGGTAAGACATTGAAAATACCCTTTCTGATATTCGTCAATTTATTATTCCTTAAACGGACCCATCCAAGATTAAGTGAGTTATTAAACATATTTCTTGGTAGATCAGTCAAATTGTTTCCTTCCAAATCGATATCACTGAGAGTAGGTATGCTATTAAAAATTCTATCGATTGCTCTGAAATCATTGTTTTTCAGAGATAGTTCTTTAATACTGTTCAATGTTGTGAACAATTCCGGTTCAATATGACTTATCATGTTGTCATGTAAATCCAGTCTAACAATGGATGCACCTTTAAACTGGTCCGCTTCAATTTCCTTTAATTTATTATGGGATAAATCAAGTTTTTGTAGTGGCAAGTTCTGAAATGCTGCTTCTTCTATCTTCTGAATATTATTTTTCTTCAAACTCAAAAAGTCAACCTTTAAGTTGTTAAACATACTATTTCTAATTTCTTCTAAAGCATTATTTTCTAAACTGATGAGTTTGATTTTTGCATTGTTAAAGGCATTTGCTTCTATTTCCTTCAAATTGCAAGAAATGATTTCTAGTCTTCTAAGATGAATACCACTTAAACTGTTCTCGTGGAGTATTGGCAGATTTTGGTCTTGAATTTGTATCACATCGTATTCGTCTTTCTTGGGTAAGCTTTCGTGCAAGTTACTGGACGATTCGATAAACTCCTCAAATATTGGCGCATCAAATCGGAAAGTTCTCCTCACCGGCATTAGTGACATAATTCCTTTTATTTTAACATTTTTAAATGTTACGGGTTCTGTCATTGCTAACAAAGTTTTCTCAAACGTATTATCCAATTCCTGAAAAATTAATATATCAATAAATATCTTGTGAGGTTTATTTAGAAAAAAAGGATTTTTTTTAAAAAATAAAAAATTTTTTTCATTATTTCCAACTTTTTTTAAATTTCGGCATTCTAAACCGGTCAAACTTGCAAAGCCTATGATTAGTACCTAAATAAAGTCAACTAACTGTATATGGATTACGCTTAGTTTCTATTTTTATGGTTCAGCCATAGATTTTATTGTTGATTTTTTTCTCCGAAAAAATAAGATGACCATTTTATTTTCATCGTAACTCCGCGAGTTTTGGAGCTACGAATTTTTTTCAAAAGGCATTTTAAAGGTCTTTCCAAGCACTTTAAAAAAGGTTATACCTATTCATTTTCTTCGAAAAATTAGTTCTTTCGCCATTATTTTACGGTGAAAGGTTCGATTTTTATTACATCTACGGTAATCAACAAAAAATGAATCGAATCCTTATTTCAAAAGCTTTATTTTTGCTTTATATGGGTTTTTCGATAAAACGCAAGGTTTTCGAGTTATTTATCAATAATTGTTGAAACATGCACTTTTTAGATGAAAAATCATTTTCAATCGCAAATAACGCGAAAAATATTAATTTTTGGAAAAAACGTTATAGAGCATTTTTTGCTTAGAATTCATCCATCTATTGATTTCTGCGATTAAAATGGGTGCCTTCATTGTCACCCCCAGGGGGAAAGCACACATCGACACTATGTAACTTTTGTTTCTTGAGCAATTTTCTACTTACTGTTAAAATTTCACGTCAATCGGTGCGTGTCAAGAATTCGGACCTACGAGTAAAAACCGTCATATAGGTACTTACTGAGCTATAAGTTTAAATAAAATAGTTCCACAAAATTTTCGGAAACTGTCAGCTTTTAAGTTGTTAAACTTAACTTACCGTTCCTAACTTCTATGTTCAATTTTCTTGGTTTTATTTCTTTCAAATAAGAAGTTATTTCCTGTTTTCTAAGATAAATTTCACATACAAGTTTAATTTTTATTCTTCTACTGTTTTCCCGAATGCACAAATAATTCAACTATACCTCAGAAGAATAATGTTGATTACTTATTTCTCTGATTGTGAGAACTATACCCATCAGAAAAATTAGAGATATAACGAGCGTTCAAATAAAAACGTGGTCGAAGTTGGCTCTGACACATTGGACGTAGGGAGTAGCTTATAGCGACCAACTTAACCTCATTTCTCAACGAGCTGTATAGCAGCTGTCAGTTTCAATAACGTTAATGACTAATATAACTTTATTTTATAGAATAAAGGTTTTTCAGAAGACCACATTCTCATATTCTGTGAGTTTACGTAACCACTTAAATGAAACCAGGCTTCATCAGAAAAAAAGGTGATATTATGAAGTTCACCGTAGTTGTTTAAAAACCATTCACAAAATACAGCCCGTCGCGGAAAATCAACTTCATGAAGTTCTTGCTGACAAGTTAAACGATAGGAGAGCAAACGCAAATCTTTTTTTAACACTGTGTGGCAGGTACCGACTGATACTCCCACCATTTGTGATAAAACACGTACAGAAGTTCTTGGCGCATTTTCCATTATTTGTTGGACATTTTCTTTTAATTCTTCAGTCCGATTTTTAGGTCGGCCGCTTCCTTCTTTTCTTGTTACACTGCCCGTTTCACGAAAAAATTAACACAACGCTGAACTGCACTTTGAAAAATTTTGTACTCAACAACGCCGGGAAATTAATTTTGAAATTCTATGAAACATTCCTCAATAGAATACTTCCATATTCCATCAATCTTGCGTCCATTTCTAAAGTAGGACTCTATGATAAACACTTTTTGTTCTTGAGAAAACACCATTTTAAACGCTTTTTAAAACGAAAATATTCAAATTGATAGCGGCGATATAGTGCTTTGACAGATGACGTTTAAGTTCATTTGCTATACGCTACGCCCTACGTCCAAATTTTCAGAACCAACTTGACCACGTTTTTATTTGAACGCTCGTTATAAGGAAACAATTTGTACTTACTTGTGTCAGAAAACTGTTCTAAATAGAACTGGGCTGTACAAGTCGTCACAGTTTTAGGAAATTACGTCTGCTGTTTTGTTTACTGTTAATATTCACTGTTGCCAGATGTCCTAGATAATTGTTCGAGTAGACTTTGATATATTTTTTTTCTATTTAAAATTATTGAGTGTAGACTTCGTTAAAGTAAAACGTTAGTTATTAGCATTGTTTAAATATTCTATAATTAAAACAATGTTAGTCAACGATTTGTATTGATACCAGTGTAACAGTCATAAGATAGAATTTGAAAACTAAAGAGTGAATAATAATTGATGACTTCTCCATATTTTTTTCTAAATCTTCTAATTTCTGTAATCTTATTTAAGTATTCAATAATTATACAAGTTTTTCATACTGATATATTAAGGAATGTTTTCAATATCTGACAACACAGCATTGTTTACTTCTGACCGATAATTATGATGCCGAAATATATTCCTAGATATATTTCTGGTTGCCTATAGAAAAAGCTGCAAGTTTCCTTTATATCTCACGTAAGTTTCACGGACACTAGCGATCAAATATTTGTATTTTTGTCAAAACTTTAGATAGAGCACAAATCCTAAATAAACTTGTTATTTAATTTGTATTAAATACATAGCGAACGCAGCAACTATAACTTAATTTTTGGAAGGAAGACCTTGAGTTAAATTTTAAAAAGACTAACTTGCCATTTAATATAAGTATACTAATATATATGTACATGTATTCAGTTACAAAATTTTGTATTTAGTTGCATTTGCAATATTACCGAAAAACTGACGTTCGTGAGAAGGATTTTCATTTAGATTTTTAAAAAAATAGAAATATTAGTTCGGCTCGTGGATTGCGAACATTAACGCACCCTGTACATGTGTGTTCCAAGAAGCTTTGTGGTGACGACAGCCTCGCGTGACGGTCCCTAAATTGTTAAATCCCTTCTTATTCCACACGTTCGACTTTACACCCACAATTAGACACGTCATACAGAAAAGTTTTTTTAAATAATACTTCCGCACAACCACTTATACTCCGAATACCATTCATTCCGAAACTTCCGAACGCACACATTGTCTTTCGACTTCCCCTTTTTTCCATATCGAGAGAATAAGGCACAGGCAATTTTGCTTAATAGAATAGAGCAATTAATTATGTTAAGAAGATTACATAAATATCGCATGAGTGAAATATTACGACGCGTTTTCATTGATTCTAGCTCATAACGATATCCAAGAGATCTAGTTGTATATTAGATACCATATTATGGAACATACTCCATTTTAGATCTTACGGGGGAATAAAATAAGATTTTAAATGTACGGATATCTGTAAAATCTCTACAATTGCGGTAAATTAAACCATAAGTACGGGACGTACTCGACACAACATTATTAATGTGATCGATGAAAGTGAGTCTACTGTCAAAAGTTATGTCTAATCCTTAAACAATTCAACATGGCTAAGGATGTATCCATCAATGTCATAATCATAGTTAGTTTTACGAGTGAAGAACATTACCTTACATTTGAAGTTGTTAAGAGATAAACAATTTAATTCACACCATGGCGACATACGATTCATCAGAGCTGTAGACGGACTCAGTCTGTAAGGGAATTTATTACGGAGAATAATTTAACATCATCTGCGAACATCAGTTTCTCACATGAAAAAATATCGGAAGATCATTAATAAATAGCAAGAACAAAAGCGGCCAAATTAGAGCCTTAGGGCACCCATGAAGATGGAAAAAATGCTTGAGAGGAAAAGTTTTGAAACCTGACCACAGGTTGTCTATTTGCTAAACATGATTGTAAAAGCCTGATTAACGAATATGAAAAATTAAATCCTTGTAACTTTGCCAGTAAGATTTATATGACCGAAGGCTTTTTGGAAATCGATAAATATTACGTCAACTTGCCCTATGGTACTAAAATTCTAAAAGTCCGGTGGATTGAAGGCCAGCGGTCTCCTTACTTAAATCTTATAGGGACATTTAAATTGTCTATCATAGGTACTGGAGCAAAACCGTCGTATAAAATTCGATGTTATCATTTTGGCTCATCAAATGACTAAATTGATGTACATATCAGGATTCCTTAAGTTGGGAGATTTTATGCACCGTTCCTATTGGTTTTAGGTACGTATCTTAGCGATATAGTCTTCAAAACACGTTATAGATTGAAAATAGGAAAAAATTGGAAGTATGTTTTCGTGGTCTGAATGATTGTTTTTCAAAATTTTGTGGGCACCATCTGAAAAGGCTTCCCGAACCCCGAAAGTATAAAGTCTAGTAGGTTTGATTTGAGGGGTGCAATGCAATGGTGCCCGTGGTTCAAAGATATCTCTTCGAAAATTTGATTTTGAGCGTTAATGGCTTGAATTAAAAAAGGCTGGAAGATCTTCTTTTTCTTAGAAATGGCACAGGAACATCTATAGGCACTTTTCTGTATCTGTCATAAAAGTAGGTAGGGAGAAAAATTATTTCGATAAAAATGCTGTTAGGAAAAATATATTTGATTCTTTATAAGCGATAACAATACGTTTAGTAATATGCAACATAACTTTATGTTAATGTAAAAAAAATATTTAAAAATCAATTTTACAATATATTTATTTCTTTTAAATATTATTGGCATTCACAAGTTTTTTTGCTGCACTTTGGCAAAACTAGTGGTACAATGAGTAAATACTGTGTAAAAATGTTACGTTTGTATTGATAGATGCTTCGGTTTTGAAATAAAATGTCACCTGAAAATAATTGCTGACAATTTTTTTTATTTTTTCAAAGCATTAAAGATCTATATAAAAATTAAAAAAAAAATACATACTAATATTAACTAGAAATTCCCACATGCAGCATATATGCTTTCAAGCCTTATCAAGGAATATTAAAAACTGTTTTTGCGCTGAAGCTATAAAATTTTTATGAATATTGTACATGATAACCCAAACCAACGAGCGTTATTCTGGCTTAGATCGGACACATGCATAAAATACTGAGAGCAGAACAAAATAAAATTATGAAGGTGTACTCCCAAATCTTTAAAAATATGTGTGTTTCAAGCTACATATAGGAGACAACCTGACATTTGAAAAATATTTAAAATTTATTTGCTTTACACCAAACAATTGAAGAGTTAAGTGGATAAAGGAAGGAGGTAGGTAACAAAATTGTAAAACAGAAAAATCCCAATTCTTTCTATTTCAACTTTATTTGGAGGAGGAATACGTGAGTTTCGAATAATATCCCTTTCATTTTTATGTCAAAGTCGGTGCTAAGTGAAATAATGTCACTTACCGCATTTATTCGTGAAGAAAAGTCGTTTCTGAAAGAAATGATATTTGCCTTCTTTATCCACTCTTCAATTCCTATACAAGGTGTCCCGAAATTCATGCAACAAAATTTGGTCATAGATTCTTAAGACAAATTTAGGGAACCTGTATTTTTTCTTTTTGCTAACTGGTCCCCTCTTTCGTAGTTACAGCCCCCTGAAATCTACCTCTAAGAAGTCTTTTTTATATCTCAAAATCATGTTAAGGAGAATCATTAAATTTGGTGGGGTTTTATGACATGTGAAATCTCACAGTGCTACGCTTTTTGGCGAGAAACCCCCTTAAGACACTTTTTCATGGACCCCGTTGTCTTTGGAACCAGAAAAATTTGGTTGCAAATTTGATTTTTTTTTTAATAGTTAGCCATTGAATTTAGAAACTTTTTTTTCTCTTGATATTTTTTTCCTAAAACGTAATGTTTTTGAGGAAAATGGTGAATCACGATATGTATCCGATCACATTTTGACATTCTTCTCAAAAAAATTGCTTTTTACGAAAAAAGTATAAAGAGGCAACAACTTTCTAAATTTAATAGCTTTCTAGTGGACTAATAATTTTTAAGAAATTTAAATATGTTACCAAATTTTTTTAGCTCCAAAGACAAGGGGGCCCACGAACAATTGTCTTAAGGGGGTTCCCCGCCAAAAAACGTAGTACCATCAGATTCCACATGTCATAAAAACCCCCGTGAACCTAATTTACTGATTCTCGTACAACAGGGTTCCGAGATACAAAAAAAAGATTATTCTTAGGGTCGGACTTCAGGAGCTGTAACTCCGAAAGAGGGGGCCACTTTGCAAAAATAAAAAATGTTGTTGCATTAATTTCGGGACACCCTATATTTAATTGGCTCTAAAAGTGTTTACAGTCATTAACATTCGAAATAGAGGAATACACTTTTAAGTCACGATCATAGATTAATTTGTGAGAATTCAGATAAAGTGAAATATTGTTAACGAAAACAGGAATTTATGACTGAAAAATATTTTAATTTTAATCTTTTTATTCTTTCTTGACGTTTGAACTTGTCATATTTAAAATCATAAGTGTGCTTGTCGCCAATAGCAAATTCCCATAATTTTGGTAAGTGCTCAAATACCTTACTACTCAATTCTTGGATTTTATTACCTCCTAAATTCAAATTAAATAATGATTCAAGATTTTCAAAGACTTTATCGTCTATTTCAGAAATATCATTATTTTCTAGAATAAGGTAGCACAGAGATCTTAAATTCGCAAAAGCGTCTACCTCAATTTTACTAATCTGGTTGTTTCTAAGAAACAATCCCCTGATAGAAGGATTGTCGAACATACCTTTATTAATCTCTGTTAAATTGTTTCCTTCCAAAAAAATTACTGAGATAGATGTCATAACATTGAACACTTCTGTGTCTATAATTCCTATATTATTCTTGGCTAAGTGCAAGAAGCCAATAGACGCGTCTTTAAACATTTTACCTTGCAGTTCGTTTAAACTATTACGTTCAAGTTTTAAATCGTGTATTTTAGAATTTTTGAATGCTAGATCTTCTATGCGTATTATTTTATTGTTTCTCAAATTTACATCACTTGCGGTTATATTGTTAAATATACCGGTTTTGACTTCTTTTAATTTGTTGTTGGACAAAAATAGATACTTTAGTTTTGGTAGGTTTTCAAATGCACCTTCCTCTATGGTTTCTATCTGGTTATCCCTCAAATCAATCAGCTCGAGTTGTGGTAAGATATTGAAAATACCTTTTCTGATAGTCGTTAATTTATTATTACTTAAACGGATCCATCCAAGATTAAATGAGTTACTAAACATATTTCTTGGTAGATCAATCAAATTGTTTCCTTCCAAATCGATATCCCTGATAGTAGGTATGTTATTAAAAATTCTATCGATTGCTCTGAAATCATTGTTTTTCAGAGATAGTTCTTTAATATTGTTCAATATTGTGAACAATTCCGGTTCAATATGACTTATCATATTGTCATGTAAATCCAATCTAACAATAGATGCACCTTTAAACTGGTCCACTTTAATTTCCTCTAATTTATTATGGGATAAATCAAGTTTTTGTAGTGGCAAGTTCTGAAATGCTGCTTCTTCTATCTTATGAATATTATTTTTCTTCAAACTCAAAAGGTCAACCTTTAAGTTGTTAAACATACTATTCCTAATTTCTTCTATCATATTGTCATGTAAATCCAATCTAACAATAGATGCACCTTTAAACTGGTCCACTTTAATTTCCTCTAATTTATTATGGGATAAATTAAGATATTGTAGCGGCAAGTTCTGAAATGCTGCTTCTTCTATTTTTTGAATATTATTTTTCTCTAAATCCAATCTAGCAATAGATGCACCTTTAAACTGGTCCACTTTAATTTCCTCTAATTTATTATGGGATAAATCAAGATATTGTAGTGGCAAGTTCTGAAATGCTGCTTCTTCTATCTTTTGAATATTATTTTTCTTCAAAGTCAAAAAGTCAACCTTGCAGTTTTTAATCATACTGTTCCTAATTTCTTCTAATACATTATTTTCTAAACTGATGTGTTTGATTTCTGCATTGTTAAATGCATTTGCTTCTATTTCCTTCAAATTGCAAGAAACGATTTCCAGTGTACTAATACGAATCCCACTTAAACTGTTCTCGTGGAGAATTGGCAGATTTTGGGCTTGAATTTGTATTATATCGTACCCGACTTTATTGGGTAAGGTTTTTTGCAAATTACTGGACGATTTAATAAGCTTCTCAAATATTGGCTCATTAAATCGGAAACTTCCCCACCTCGGCCTTATTATTGACATGATCCCTTTTATTTTAACGTTTTTAAATGTTACAGGTTCTGTCATTGCTAACAAATTTTTCACAAACGTACGAGTATTATCCAATTCCTGAAAAATGAATATATGAACTAATAAATATTTTCCATGAGGTATCGTTACGTTTAGTAACAATTTGAGCGAAGACAGCGGTACACAACTATAGAATCAATCTCTAGATAGCGGATGATAAATTCAATATATTTTTAACGCTCTAAAGATGTTTAAAATATATGCAGCTTTCTACAAATGATAACACATCTACTTGCTAATAATATTAATTAATATAAGTTATTCCCTGATTCGTACCATGCTTCTCCTACCGCTTGGCATTTAATTAAAGCGTGCTCCTTTTGTCCGGTACGTTATTTAATTCCTAACTAATCAAAGCCGTGTCAGACAAAAAAACTCCAAATAAGGACTTTTTGTCTCAGAATTACCCTATATGGCTTAACTCTTTTTGGGACACCTTGTATATTGGAATAAAAATAGGTCCGTCTTATCCTGTTTTTAATAGGAAATAGGCAACCAGGAATATAGATAGATTTGCACCTATTTTCGTAATTGCTAATCCTTGGTTTTATTTCTTTCACATAACAAACAATTTCCTGATTTTTAAGATGAATTTCAAACAAGTTTAATTTTTATTCTACTGTCTTTCCGAATTATGAGTCACTTGCTTGCACGGATGATTCAACTATACTCATCAGTAAAATTGGAGAAATATAAGGAAACTGAAAAATTGTACTTACTTGTGTCAGAAAAATGCCCTAAATGCGCATTGCGTTGTACAAATCACGGTTTCACGAAATTACGTCTGCTGTGAATATCCAATTTGTTTACTGTTAATATCCAGTGTTGTCAGATGTCCTAGATAATTGCATGGGTATACGTTGAAGTAATATAAAATTATTTAATAAAGTAATATAAATAATATAAAACGGATATTTTTGTTCCATTTAGAATTATTGATAAAACTTTAGTTATTATCATTGTTTAAATATCGTATACCTAATTTAAACAATGTTAGTCACCAATTTGTATTGATAACAATTTTATCAGTCACAAGCTCTTAGAATTGTAAATTAAAATGTTGAATTATTTATTAATTGACTTCTTCATATTTTTTTTAATTCTTCCAAATAATTAGTGATATAGATGTCATAACATTGAACACTTCTGTGTCTATAATTGATATGTTATTCTTAGCCAAGTGCAAGAAGCTAATAGACGCGTCTTTAAACATTTTACCTTGCAGTTGGTTTAAACTGTTACATCATCTGCGATTATATTATAAATATACCGGCTTTGATTTCTTCTAATTTATTGTTGGACAAAAATAGATAGGTACTTTAGTTTGGGTAAGTTTCCAAATGCACCTTCCTTTATGGCTTCTATCTGGTTATCCCTCAAATCGATCAGCTGGAGTGGCGGTAAGATATTGAAAATACCCTTTCTGATATTCGTCAATTTATTATTCCTTAAACGGATCCATCCAAGAAGTTGACGCAATAACCCCACTCCGACATCTCCCCACTACACGCATACATTTCGGTGCTAATGGCTTATCAAATAAATCCTTTCCCATGCTAACTCAATGAAGAATTATTGAATTTGCCCGATTCTTGCACCAAAAGATGCGCAACATCAAGTTCTATATGTTAAATACAATAACTCAATTTAGGTATAAAATGAAGTTGCCCGGTTTCTGCACGGAGGTTTTCAATTATTTATTGACTTCTTCATATTTTTTTTTAATCTTTTAATTTCTGTAATGCCCTAATCTAAATTGTAATAACAATAATAATAATCTTAGTTAAATATTCAATAAGTATACAAGTTGTTCATACTGATATTCAGGAATATTTTCAATATCTGACAACACAGCATTGTTTACTTCTGACCTATCATTATGCTGCCGAAATATACTCTTAGATCTATTTCTGGTTGCCTATAGAAAAAACTGCGAGTTTCCTTTATTTCTAACTAAAGTCTCATGGACGAACAAGCAATTTTTTTTTATATTTATTATTATGGCGGTAGTAACAAGAGTTATGTCACACGTCATTTTGAGAATACACTGATTTGCTAGATTAAAACCATCACAACTTTAGATGTGCAAAAGTTAAAGCCAAATGAAACTTGTTATTTAATTTATAGTAAATCCCAGCTACGCAACAAAAAGATGTTCTAGGAAGAACTCTATTTTTGGAAGCAAGGCCTTGTGTTCAAAAGGCTCGTTCTAGACTAACTTGCCTTTAATATAAGCATAGCCTAACAATATGTACTCAGTTACAATATTTTGTATTTAAATGTTTAGCAGTTTACCCCTTTTTCACTCTAATTAGTAAATTTACAAGAAATTTAAATTTGGAGAGATATAAATTAATTAGTTTATGTTTTTAGTTTTCTATTTCCATACATTTCCAACTTCATACATCATCTTCATACAAAAAGGACGAAATGCACTGTCTAAATTCTAAAAATAAACACATTAGCAATTGTCTTGATTTATTTCGTTTGATACTTAATATACAGGATGTCCCGGAAGGAAGACACAAACCCATCTAATTGGTTAATAAGTTTGGTAAATTGTATTACGGAAAACTTAGTTAAGTAGTTTGTGGAAATATTCCGAAAATTGAATAATGTGCGCGCTTGTGGTTTGAGTGCGGCTGTGAACGATAACGCCCGATGGAGTTGGGAGAGGGAGGCTAGCCGAGTCGACAACAAGGAGCGAGAGACGTGGACTTCTTGGGAAATGTACCTTTATCTGTTGAACGAATGTGGTTCTTGCACGATGGTGCGAATCCTCACTTAGGACAAAGTGGATTCCCTAAGTTGAGAGATTTTATGGACAGTTCTGGTTGGTTTTAGGTAAGTACCTTAACGATAAAGTCGTCAAAGCATGGTATTAAGATTAAAAATAGGGAAAAATTAGAAGAATAATTGTTTTTCAACATTTCAAAGATACCTCCTCGAAAATTCAATTTTGATCGTTAAGGGGTTAAAATTTAAAAAAAATACAAATATAAGGGCTAGAAGATCTCTTTCTTCTTAGAGATGGAACAGAAACTTCTATAGGCTCTTTTCTGTATCTATCATAAAAGTTAGCAGGAAAAAAAATTGTTTAATAAAAATGATGTTAGAAACGATATATATTGATAAGCGATAACAATACATTTAGTAATATGCATACATAATTTTATGTTAATGTAAAAAAAAATTAAATATCAATATAACAATGTATTTATTTCTCTTAAATATAATTGGCATTCACCACTTGTTTGTTGGACTTTAGCAAAACTAACAGGTTTAATGAGTAAGTACTGTGTAAAAATGTTACGCCTGTAATGACAGACGTTTCGGTTTTGAATTAAAAATATAGGACATCTCCATTTCATTTTTCTCATAATATTTAGATATACCTATATTTACAAGTGAAAATGAAAATAATTATTTAAATTTATCTATAAAAAATTGACAAAAATTACTTTGACTTGCTAATATTAAGTGGAAACTTCCACGTGCAGAAAATATGTCATCAAGCGCTATGCAAGGAATTTTAAAAACTGTTTTTGCTCAGAAACTATAAAATTTTTATGAATATTGTACATGATAACCTAAACCAGTGAGCAATAATATTCTAGCTGAGATCGGAGATATGCAAAAAATACTGAAAGCAGAACAAACATTATAAGGAAATTTACAATTTTGTCTAATTACAAAACCCTATGTTTGAAGTAAATATTTAATGTGAATGACAAAGTCAAATTACTATCAAAGTAAACTTCCAAATCCTTAATAATATCTGTGTGTTTCAAGACGCTGAATAGAGTGGGTTTCTTATACACATATAGGAGACAACTTGACATTTGAAAATACTAAAAAGAATTATTTACTTTACATCAAACTTCTATATTCAATTGGATTTTAAGTCATGATCCTCGAAAGCATAAATTAAATTAATTTGTGAGGATTCAGATGAATTGAATTGTCAATAACAAAAATATGGATCTATCACTGAAAAATACATTTTATGGAATTTTAATCTTTTTATTCTTTAGTACTTTCTTGAAATTTTAACATGTCATATTTAAAATGATAAGTGTGCTTGTCGCCAATAGCAAATTCCCATAATTTTGGTAAGTGCTCAAATACCTTACTACTCAATTCTTGGATTTTATTACCTCCTAGATTCAAATTAAATAATGATTCAAGATTTTCAAAGACTTTATCGTCTATTTCAGAAATACCATTATTTTCTAGAATAAGGTAGCCCAGAGATCTTAAATTCGCAAAAGCGTCTACCTCAATTCTACTAATCTGGTTGTTTCTAAAAAACAATCCCGTGATAGAAGGTTTGTCGAACATACCTTTATTAATCTCTGTTAAATTGTTTCCTTCCAAAGAAATCATTAGGATAGATTTCATTACATTGAACACTTCCGTGTCTATAATGCCTATGTTATTCTTGGCTAACCGCAAGTAGCCAACAGACGCGTCTTTAAACATTTTACCTTGCAGTTCGTTTAAACTGTTACGGTTAAGTTTTAAATCGTATATATTAGAATTTTTGAATGCTAGATCTTCTATGTGTATTATTTTATTGTCTCTTAAATCTACATCATCCGCGGTTATATTATTAAATATACCGGCTTTGATTTCTTTTAATTTGTTGTTGGACAAAAATAGATACTTTAGTTTGGGTAGATTTTCAAATGCACCTTCCTCTATGGCTTCTATCTGGTTATCCTCCAAATCGATCAGCTGGAGTTGCGGTAAAATATTGAAAATGCCTTTTCTGATATTCGTCAACTTATTATTCCTGAAACGGACCCATCCAAGATTAAGTGAGTTACTAAACATATTTCTTGGTAGATCAGTCAAATGGTTTCCTTCCAAATCGATATCACTGAGAGTAGGTACGTCATTAAAAATTGTATCGATTGCTCTGAAATCATTGTTTTTCAGAGATAGCTCTTCTATGCTGTTCATTGTTGTGAACAATTCCGGTTCAATATGACTTATCATATTGTCATGTAAATCCAATCTAACAATAGATGCACCTTTAAACTGGTCCACTTTAATTTCCTCTAATTTATTATGGGATAAATTAAGCCATTGTAGTGGCAAATTCTGAAATGCTGCTTCTTCTATCTTTTGAATATTATTTTTCTTGAAATTCAAAAAGTCAGCCTTTAAATTGTTAAACATACTATTCCTAATTTCTTCTAAAGCATTATTATTTAAATTGATGAGCTCAATTTTTGCATTGTTAAAGGCATTTGCTTCTATATCCTTCACATTGCAAGAAATGATTTCTAGCCTTCTAAGATGAATACCACTTAAACTGTTCTCGCGGAGAATTGGCAGATTCTGATCTTGAATTTGTATTACATCGTACTCGAGTTTCTCGGGTAAACTTTCTTGCAAATTACTGGACGATTCAATAAGCTTCTCAAATACTGGAGCATCTAATTGGAAAGTTCCCCTCATCGGCATTACTGACATGATTCCTTTTATTCTAACGTCTTTAAATGTTGTAGGTTCTCCCATTGCAAATAAATTTTTCATAAACGTATTATCTAATTCCTGAAAAATAAATATATGAACGAATACATATTTTCTATGAGTTATTGCTACGTTTAGTAATAATTAAAGCAAAGACATCGGTACACAACTATAGAATCAATCTCGAGCTAGCGAATGATGAATTGGATATATTTGAATGTACTAAAATGCTTAAAATATGTACCGCTTTCCATAAATGATAACACATCTACACTTTAATACAAAATGACAAATCAGATTGCACGGAGCTGTTATCAACAAATGGTACACCAGTTGTGTATATAAAAACATATAAAAATAAATAATTAAGACATCTGTAAATAAATATTGGAAAAATATGATGCTCTTTCTGGTTACAATACACAATATCATTCTATATTGAAAAAACAAAAAGTTATCTACCTATACTATAAACAAATAGGAAATGTTAGGGTTGCAACGTGGTACAGACTTGACTCTAGGTCGGGCTCTCCTTTATGTAATTTTATTCAAACGAAAAGTGACACAAACGTTGTCTTCTTATAACTGCACTTTTTACGTTATAAGAATAAATATTTGCATAATAGTATGAAACAAAAAGGGCCACTGTCAATTTATATACTACTAGTAAAAGTTAACAAAATAATGATTTCTAACGCATAAGCGATTGTAGAAAATAATTAACAATTATTGTCCTAAGTGTTCCGCGGTTAATCGTCTCTGTCGATCGGTAAATACCTATTTGAAAAACGAACCGTTCAATATTTATCGAGGCCACAGGCCCATATCTAAAATAATTGAAGTTTCTAATATAAGTACGCTATTTTTACCAATGGTAGCGAAGCATCAACTACTTCACATTTTAGAAATCCCATTATATCCACGTCATTGTACAAGTTACATGTCTGCAGATTCGCATCGATCAATTTATTCGATACGTATCTAGCTGCACCCTAATGTCTGCCCTGTCGCTCTGGCTTGCCGGTGCACAATCCAGTTTTTTTGCTGAGGGACATTAGCCGTGCATTTCATTGTTATTTGTGTTTGTCTAAGTTTGACGCTTTGCTTTATTGAGTGTATGGCACGTGTTTTCATGGCAGTCAGCAGCATTGTGTATCGTGAGAATAGAGCGGCACACGGTTTAACCATAGATTTATCCTATTTATTCTACTACAACACTATTGCAGCTTACTAGATTACTACTGTTTATTTATGTGATTGACGCCACAAAGTTTCCGATATCTAACTGTAAATAATCCGTTATAAAATGTAATTACTGACAAAAAATCATACTAATCAGTAAAATCAAATATAAATTCTAAGTACTATAGACATATTGGGAAAATGTGCTGAACAATATTTTTTATAGTGAAAGTCCATTCTTCTGCTTTTGTCCGAAATAAACTTTTCAATTAGTTATTCATTAGTTTGGTATTTTTCGCATCGTTGATTATTCAATAGATAGTATCGCAAGCGTTGTTGGTCTGTCTTGACAATCTAATTTAAATTTTCACAATCGTTTAAAAAAATACAAAAAACCACACACATGTAACAAAATTTTACACCACACGTAAACAAATTACGTTTAATAAGAAAAAAAAGTAGTAAAAAGCTATAATTTAGTTGTGGATGGACTAAACATATCCCAAACTGCGTAGTAAATATGTGCTAATTCAACTCCGTCACTGCTGCGCGAAGGTAACCATGACCACCGTTGAAAACACTTTACAGATCTAGAGGTGGGCTACGAGGAGGTACTCGGTGGTTTTCAAATTAATTTTGCAAGTCGAGTTAAATTGACTGCACATTACAAATTTAACATTTCCATTTTAATGTGGTTCATAACCCTAATTCATTTATCTAGTAAACTAAATTTTAATACTACATTTTTTTACTATGAAAATTCCCAGCTAATTATTAAAATCTCGAACTTTGTAATCATAGATTTTTCTGTATTTTGTACCAGTTTTACTCTCTTCTTAAAGCAGAAATTTGTTGTCAATATGTTTTTTTTTATTATTTAATATACAGGGTGACCCGGTACTTGATACAAAAAAATTAAGAAAACTATCAAAATATCTTTTCAATTTGGGCACCTTCCATCTCCACACACTTCCTAAGTCTACAAATGTTATTTGTTTGTATACGAAAAAGTATTTCTGGGGTATGTCTAATATTATCACAATGCGTATTAAACAACAAAAATAAGCTGTAAGCATGTTATATCGATCACCAAATTTGCATCATGTTGAAGTTAATGGTTTAGAGAATAGAAAAATAACTTTTTAATTTTCACCTTTTGAGGGCCCGTAACTTGTTAACGAAGGCTCGAATGAAAAAAAAAATATATGAAAAAGTTTCCTAATTATATTATGATGAGTCACTTACATGCAAAGATAATTCATGCTATACCTATCCATTAGTAAAATTGGAGAAATATAAGGAAACAGAAAATGTGTACTTACTTGTGCTAGAAAACTATTTTAAATGAAACTGCGCTATACAAATCACAGTTTCAAGAAATTACGCCTTCTGCAAATTTGTTTCCTATAAATATCCGCTGTTGCCAGATGTCAGATAATTTCTTGATTGATCGGTTAAAAATAATATTTTAATTAAATTAAGTAATACGAGATATATAATATATTTTTTTTCTATTTATAATTATTGGTAGTTAAAGTAAAATATTATTTATTAGTCACCACGCGTGTACTAATAACAGCTTTATAAGTTATAAGATAGATAGGTATTTGAAAATTAAAAAGTAGAATTGAGGATTGATCTCTTTAAAATATTTTAATTTCTATAATCTTAATTAGGTATGCAATATTTATAGAAATTCATACTGATATTCAAGAATGTTTTCGATGTCTGACAACACAGCATTGTTTACTTCTGATCTATAATTCTGCTGCCGAAATATACTCCTAGATTTGTATAAAAACTGGCAGGCATTTCTGGTTGCCTATGGAAAAAACTGCGAAAAAACGTAAAAGCTTGTGGACACTAGTAAACAAATTTATATAGCTTATTCTTTTTATTATTACGGCGGTAATAACAAGAGGTGAATAGGTGTACGTCACACGACATTTTGGAAATAATATGTTAATTTATCTTTAGACGGAGCGCAAATGTTAAAACCTAAAGAAACTTGTTATTTAATTTGTAGTAAATGTAGCAATGCTTTGTTCTAGGAAGAACTCTATTTTTGGAAGCAAGACGTTGAATTAGCTTGTTCTTGACAAACTTGCATATAATATAATTCTTCGAATTACTATATTTACAAGAAATTTAAATTTGGAAATGTAGGAATTAATGAATTCATCTTTTTAGTTGGCAGAAATGTTTGAAAAGACAGTATTTTTTACTACTACTGACATAATCATAACGATACAGAAATATTTTTGAAATTGTTGATTGTAGATGTAGGCCAACCAATAGAGCGAAAAAAGAGGCTTAAATATTACAGCAAATTTCATGTATTTCCTTTTGAAAAATACTTAGTAAATGAAAACCCAAGTGATTTCCCCAGCAAAGTCGTGAACAATTTTTTTTAAACAATAAAAACTGCAAAAATTACATTTTTTGTTTTTTTTTTTTATATCTCAAAAAATAATGATGGAATCGTCTTACTCTCAATACGACTTTTGTAGAGAATAAAAAAACATATAAAATGGTTTTTTGTGTGACTCGATCGGTCCATTTTTTACAGAGAAAATCCGGAAAAACCTCTAAAAAACTCCGTCAAATTTGAAACTGGAAAAACAATCTTGCGAAAAATGACAGATATGTAGTTTAATCGTGCGCAAGATGGTTTCTGTCCGATGCATAGTTTTTGCACAATTGCATTATAAATAAATTGGAGTATTTTTTTGGACAGCATGACGATTTATCAAAAAATGGTCCAATTTAAATTCTGAAAACGGCATCTGAAAGTAGACGACAAAATCTCCAATCTGTATATCTCGGATTTTCGCTTGGGTAATGGGAAATACGGTTATCAAATAAAAATAATTAAATCATAACTTATAAAAATGGTTTAATTATCTTAATATATTTATTTTAAGGTTGTATAAAAACGAAAAAGTTAACAGCAGGCTGTCTACAACCATAGTTAATGACTCAAGATTAAATAATTATGATTAATATTAATTTTAAGCACAGTATTGATTATTGAAAATGCTTAATATTAACGCGTGATTAACGTAATCTACTTGCCATTATCAGCAAAATCATGTTAGCTCACATTCTTCTATGTTATGAGGAAGGAAGGGTATCAAAAATAATGTTAACACAACATTGTATTATTTTTATTACATCTGACATTGTTACAATAAAAAGGTATGTACATCCAAAAATGACAGTTTTCTGAATTTCAGCGGGTAGGGGTGAATTTTGCAATAATTTCAGACGAGTAATGTTGTGATCGTGTTTCCTGAATTAACACACGTAGACTAGAGTGTGAGAGCCACTTATCATTTTGATAACATTATATAACAATCTATAAAATCTATAACATACACTGCTTCTATACACTTTATTATCGTCATCTCATATTTTGGCACACCCAATTGGAAGTTTAGGGAAGTTGCGTTTTTATTTTCATATCAACGTCGATTCCCTCTGAAGGCACCAGCCAATTATTTATGATTTTTGGAAAGAAAATAATGCATCGGTTTAAGACAATTTTAACAAGTTCAGACAAGACAAGTCAAGTTTAGACAAGTCCAAAACATCTCCGTACGGCATTGAATTTGAAGCGATTCTAACAGTTTAAGTACATATATTGAGTTATGTCATAAAACTATAAATTCATGTAAAGTACCTACAAAGGAAAATACAAACTAAATTTTGCTTGTATATGGTGTCCTTTGCTCAAGTTGTGGATAATTCTGAAGACAGCTCAGTATTCAGGAAGTCTATTATATTTAATGGAAGCACTAATTAGATGTATAGGAATTCTTTCATAGAGATGTTTGGACTTACATATCGGGAACATTATCCGGAAGCTTTTGAAAACACATTTAGTTTTAGTGGAGAATTAAAAAAATAATATGAACAGTAAAGGTTTCAGCTAATAAGCCGCAAATATTTTGAAAAAAATTTAATGTGAAATAATTATGTTTGTTACGATTTTATTGTACACTTTTTATCCTTAGGATGTTTATCTGATGACTCTTCTCTTCTCAAATTTTTGTTTCTAGTTGTTATACATACTTATAGGACGAAGAAGTAAAATTAACAATTTTGTTTGCGTTTTTTATTACTGAGATCTAGACTTTTCATATTAAAATATGTTGCTGTTGATTTCGGTGAATTTAAGTGTTTTTAAACATAAATATGTTGCATAATAGGATTACTTTTCTATAGACAACACTTCCAACAATTTTTTTGTTGTTTCGTCAAAATTTTTTCAGTCATTCATGGTACAGTTGTGATTAATAAAGCTTTTGGTCTAAGACAATTGAAGCATAAAATTAATAAAACGGACTATAATTTAGGTCGGAAACTTTTTATTATTCGCAGCTGTACGCCCCGTAGTTTATCCTAGCAAAAGCAGTGATATCCATGTTTTTTTATGAATTTCACGTTCACAAATTCGCCGAATTCACAGTCAACTTATTAACACATTAAAACGATTTATCGAAAATAAATCGAAGTTATTACCAAATATCTTGATACGGTATAAAGACAAATCTCGTGTTGGCATATTTCAAATCAGATTTTGCTATTTTTTATAGTATTGGTATCCCAATATGTATGTATAATAGGATTATATTCGATGCAAAGTAGAGCAAAAAATTAATAACAATAATAATTAATAATAATAGTGTCTTTACTACGTCAAGTACATAATTTGAACATAATTGTAAGAAGATGGCCAAGTTCACGTGATCGTGCTCTTCAACTTAACCATCATAAAATATAAGATATTGAATTTATAGAATAAATCCAAAAGGAATATATACTTGTGCCATATAGAACAGAATATAATTATATGCCAATCTAAGAGAACTAGTGACGTTTTTCTTGTAAATAACGTTTATATTTATGCTTGAATCCTGCAATAGTATGCGAAGATTTGATATACTGAGGGATATGATTAAAAATATTAACTGCGGTATAAGAAAACGAGTATTGAAATTGACTGGTAGAGTACATGGGTTTATGCCACTCTTTATGCCACATTGTGGTATAAAGAGTGGCATGTCTTGTAGAGCGAATATGTACATCACCCATTTTTATTAACTTTTCGCACAGGTTGTCGGTCTTTTATCAAAGGAAAGTCGTGTCATCATTTTTAGGAGGCGTAAGATGAACCATTTCAAATTTAAAATGAAATTGAATGTAAAATCTGAAATACCGCTGCATTCGCATTGTGTTCTGGTTGTAGCTGTAGTCGCCCAGGTGCATCGAGTATACGAAGTGGTCGGTTATACGTCAAATACTAACCTAGCGAGCTTGGTTGTAAATCAGAGACCGCCTCCAAAAAACAAGTAAACAACATGGCGCGTACAGAGGTAAAATGTAGTACATATGTGGAATTTAAAAAACAAATTGGATTTATAATAAATTACAGTTAAAATAAATAGTTTCTGAGAATAAAGGAATTTTTGTAGGAACAAGGGTGCCAGACATGAACTGATCCCTTCGTCCCTTCATAATGTATAAAGAAATTATTCAATTTCTAAACCCCTTAAAAGCGTATTGCACTGGATTCCTTGACAAGCAATGATTTATTACTTTGCATCGAATATGATCCGACTATAATATATTTTCTATTAAGATATTTGACAATAAATTATATTTAAATCAAACATGGTGGATCAAACATAAACAGGAATTTTATTTTAAAATCCAGGGTAATCACTAGGTATACATATAATTGCTAACTATATTATTTTTTTTTAAAACACACTGTTCTACAGGTTTTCATCCGATTGCAGAACCTTGCACAATGGAAATAAATATCATACTATTCTGGGGGGAAAAAAACAGTAGTTAAGCAAAAATGTCAATCTAACAAAAACTATTGAAACTAACTGAAAAGTTCTGCTGGTGAATGAACATCCATTACATGCTCATAGAAACATTAAGGTTGTTTATTAGCGTAATATGCGACAATTGATTTTGAAATATGTATTTTTATTTGTTATTACGCCGATAAAGTAAATTAGGAATCTCCGGAAATGTCTTAGAGGTTTAAAGGATGCAAAGGCTTGCCCAACTGGCTGCTAATACGATTTATTACTCTCTACTAAGACTTAATTTTGTGCAGTAAATTTAAAAAATTCGGATTATGTTTGATCCACCTTAGTACATATAAAAATTCCGTCTCTTGGCTCTTTCAAAGATGTACAAAATATACTCACACTCCGTATTAATAAATGTAAACGAATTTGTAACTCTTACAAAATATGTTTTATATAAAAATTACTGTCATTTCATTAACTTGAATATTTATACATTTCTTATAAATTTTGAAAGGCTTTCAACT